AAATGGAGGAGAAGGGATTGTGGTGTAACCCTTTCCCCCTCAGAAGGTGCTTTCTCCTTTTCCGTCATCCCTCTGGTGAGTGCACTCACAAATTAAAAAAGAAAAAAATAAAGAAAGGGGTTTTTGTTTGTTTGTGTTGCTATAAGGTACATGCACTTGCTAAAGACAGAGAGAGAGGGGAGGAAGGTGAGAAAGCACCCTCCAGAAGGGATGGCCACACTGCAGTCCCTTCTTTTCTTGGGAGTTTGGGCTCATGCAAACGTGTTCCTGGCATATCTTTCAAGCTGCCGGGTCTGGGACTTGAATGGCACAGTTGAGATCCAGCCACCTTAATCACGCCATCTGCTGGCTCGTGAAAGTTTTCAGCAGGGAAGGAAAATTACCTCATCTAATGTACTGATGTAATTCTTTTTTCAGAGTTATTATTCTGGCTGCTCTATGCAAAGCCAACTATAGGAATGTACACATGGAAGCACAAGAACAGCTTGGAAGATGAGGCCAGCAGTGATGTGGAGGTTAAGGCAATGGATCCCTCCATGGCTGGCTTCATGGTTCACGTCCCGGATCCGATAGCTTGAAAATTACGCTGGGCGATTGTGCCTGCGTGTCCCAAATCCTGAGAGGATAATGTAGAAGAAGGGATTGGGCATGGTCGTCCCCCTGGGGGGTGGTTTCTCACTTTCCCTCTTGTTTTCTCTTTCTGGCTCTCTGATGCACACACGTGCCCTGTAATAAAAACTAAAAACACAAGAACAACAAAGAGCAGTTAGGAAGCTGCTGCAGTGGTTGTGGTGAGAACGTCTGGGTGTATTTTCGAAGGTGAAACTTGCCTGAATTGCCGATGAATTATTAATAGATGTGGGTGTGAGGAGGGAGTCACAAGGGAGTGAGTCCTAGATTTTTATTCTGAGCAGCTGGTTGAATGATGGTGCCATTTACCGAGATGAAGACAACTGAGTGGGGAAGTGGGATTCAGAAATCTGGAGCTCAAGCTGGAGATGTAAATTTGAGAGCGATCGTCTTATTGGTGGTTTTTAAAACCGTGAAATTAAATGAGATCACAGGACGAGAAAGAGTGCAGCTAGAGAAGGTCCTTATCCTACGACCTTGTCTGCGGTTGTACTTAGAATTGTGGAACAGGGCACAGAGAAAGACTGGAGCCTTCAAGGATTAAACAAAGTATTTACCGGGGTCAGCAGGTGGCATAACGGGTAAGGTGCTGGACTTTCACACAGCTGACCACGGTTCGAGTCCGGACCTGGCAGCTTCAAAATCAAGCTAGGTGCTTGTGCATGCATGCCCCCAAATCCTAGGAGGACAGTGGAGAAGGGATTGTGGTGTGGCCATAATCCCTGGGGAGTGATTTCTCACTTTGTCTCTCCCTGTCTCTCTTCGGCAAGTGCATACACCCTCTTTAAAAAAAGTATTTACCAAAGGAGGGAACACGCCCCCCATGCTGTGCAATGCTGGAAGCCATTTGGAAGGTCAGGATTGGTTTCCCATACATGCTGGTGTGATCCCGGCTGGCTGAAAGGCGAAGAGGGAGATCACAACCTGAGGCCCGTTTGAGGGAGTTTGTCTCTAAATCAGAGTAAGAGGTTGAAGTAGATTTGGTTGAAAATTGAGAACTGACCCTTGGGTTTGACAGACTTGGAGGTTATCAGCAGCCTTAGCACAAGTGGTTACAGTAGATGAGTAGGGACAAGGCCCAGGGCAGAGGCAGGGAAGAGAAGAGCGGGTGAGGCAGAGACTCAGTAAGCCTTTCAGAGAGTTCTGATTTCAATTTTCAGTATGCTTTCTCTTTTTTAATAAAAACTTTAAATTTTAGAGCAGTTGAAGATTTACAGAACAATTGAGAAGGTAGTACTCCTGTATATCCCACGCCATTTCCCCACTACTTCTCGTTAGCTGTGGCGCGTTTGTAACAGTTAGTAAGCTGGCACCGTGCATCCTGAAGTCCATCCTTATCCACTCTCCTCTTTTTACCGAGTGTTCGGCTCCCGTTCCAGGGTTCCAGCTAGGACACACTACATGTCCCGGTCATAGCTCCTCAGGCCCCTTTTGGCTGTGACAGTTTTTCCAACTTTCCTTGTTTTTGATGACTTCGGTGGCTAAGAGAATTCTGAGCACGAGTACCTGTCAAACCCGCAGTCTGGGGTTGTCTGTTTTTCTCCCGATTAGACTGTGGTTATAGATTTTGGAAGGCAGACCACGGAACTGAAGTGTCATTCTCGTCACATCCCGTCAAAGGTACATGTTACCAACGTGACTTCTCACTGCTGATGTGGACTTGACCACCTGGCCGAGGAAGTCTTTGCCATGTTTCTCCGCTGTCAGGTTTTGATGTTCCCCTCTTCTGTATCTTACTCTTTGGAAGGAAATCCCTGTGGGCAGCCACAGACACTCAAGGCCTGGGGGGTATGCTGGACCTTCCCGAAGGTGGAATGTCTGCGCAGGTTACCGGGGATTCGTCATGAGAGACATGGCTCTTCTCCCCCGTGTATTGTTTCTTACTTGCTTTCTTTTCTCTCTCTCTCTTTCTCTCTCTCTCTCTCTCTCTATTTATTTATTTATTTTTACAGTTTTTGCTGTAGGATATGTGCACTCACCAGAGAGAGAAGAGAGAGAGAAAATGAAAATCACCCCCCAGAGGGCATGGCCACACCACAGTCCCTTCTCTTCTCTTTCCTTCTCTATGGATTTTGAGCGTGTGCACTTGCACCCAGCCTGCCTTTCCAGCTGCTGGGTTCAGGACTCAGACAGCACAGTTGCCTGTATGGGATCCAGTTGCCTTAACCATACTCCATCGGCTGCGCCCTTTTCTATTTAGTTTCTTTTCTCTTTTTTTGGAGAGGTTTTCCCTATGGGGTGCGTGCATTTGCCAGAAAGACAGAGAGAGAGACAGAGAGATAGGAAGTGAGAAACCACCCCCCAGGGGATGGTCATGCCGCAATCCCTTCTCCTCCATTCTCCTCTTGGGATCTTGGGCATGCACGCACACGCGCCTGGTGTGAGTTTAAGCCACCGGGTTTGGGACGTGAACAGCAGTCGATTACATGGGAGTCCAGTGACATCCAGTGTTTGGGATTCCAGCTGTCCAGTTGGCCATAGGGGATCTAGCACCTTAACCACCCTGCCAACTGCCGTCCCTTTCTCCCCCTTTAAAAAAAAATCCTCGGACTGCAGTATAGAGTTTGGTTTGGGAAGGATGCGGTAAGAGAAGAGGCAGGCAGACTAGATGAGGCTTTTATAGTCATTCAAAGGAGACGTGGGTGACCTGGACTTGGTACAGTGATGTCTGAGAGGCGTTTGGGAAACGAAACTGAAAGGCCTTGGTGTCTTAGTCTGTTCATGCTGTTAGAATGACATGCCATAGACTGGGTGGCTTATAAACAACAGAGATCGATCTTTCACGGTCCCAGCGTCAGGCAAGTCCAGCAGCAGGACAGCAGCAGGACACTGGCGGATTTGGTGTCTGCTGAGGGGCTGCTTCCTGGCTGACAGGCGGCCATCTTTTCCAAGTGTCCTCGCGTGGTGAAAGGGGACTCTGGTCTCCTAAGCCCTTTAGGAGGGCACTCATCCCATTCATGACGCTCCACCCCCATGACCTGAATGCCTCTAGCGGCCTCACCTCCTAGTAAGTCACCTTAGGGGTTAGGATTTCGACTTATGGATTTGGGAAGTTGGTGTATTCAGTCCATAGCTCTTGGTGATTGGTTAGAGGCTCTGAAACATAATTATTTTCATGTTTCAAATGACCATTTTTTTTTTTAAGTCTTCCCACTTTGGCCCCATGTGAATACATAGTTCCATGTTTAGTAACAGTTCAGAGTAAAATTCCTTCTGATGTTTCAGCCCTCCGGTGCTCTTTCCTGCATCGCCCTGTAGCCTCTTCATGTTCCTTGCTGACAAGGGATCTGGCTTTTAAAGAGCAAAGATACTATTGGTAAATTAATTTTTCTTTTCAAGCTTATCTTGGTTTAACAGCCCTCCCCAATGTTTCTCTGGGCTCTGGTTTTCAGGACAATTTGTTGACAGTGACAAGCCAAGTGCTTCTTACTCCCTAGAGCACTCAGACCCTTTCTAATTTTAGATCCCAGACTCTTGCTTTTCTCTTCTTTGGAGCTGAAATCTCTTGCAGTAGATAAGATTATTAAGATCACTAGCTCCTGTTTTATGATACATTGTGTGGCTTTTAAAAAAAATTTTTTTTAAGAGGTTTTTGCTATAGAGAATGTGTGATTACCCAAGAGACAGAGAGAAAGTGAGAAATCATTCCCTGGGGAGATGGCCACACCGCAATCCCTTCTCCATTCTCTTCCTGAGGCACAAGCGCTTACTCACATGTCAACTCTTTTGACCACCCTCCTCCCCGCAAGCCTATGGGGAAGGTAGAACAGGTCAAATAACTGAGATTAGGAATAGTTAGATGACTTGCCCAAAGTCAGAACATTCATAAGTAGTACAGCAGCTGACAGAATTTAGCTTTTCTTTATTTAATTGCCAGAGGGTGCGTGAACTACAGAGGGAGATGGGGTTGGAGAGAAGAAAGCCCTCACCAGTGGGATGTGGTCACCACAATCGCTTCTCCATTTCTCCATCCCATCAGGATTTGGGGCACGCACACACATGTGCCTGATGTATTTTTAAGCTGCTAGGGTTCGCATTTGCCCCACAGTTGGGCCTGGTGGGGTCCGGCTCCCTTAACCGCCAGGCTATGTGGGCTGGCCCTAGAACCTAGGTTTTCAGATTTCATGGATTTTTATTTTTTGCTAGTGCTTTCTGTCTCTAGGAAAAGGGATTTAGACTAGTTTTCAGCAGTGAAGACATCCAGAAGAAAGTCTTTCTCCTCTGAGTATGCTCTGTAGACTTCACCTGAACATCGCCATGGGGTTTCCTGTTCTTCAGACAGCACGCAGACTGCCAGTAATTCCTGGACTACACCTGGAGAAGCTCTGGTCTCTTTTTAATTATGTTTTATTTCTTCTTCTTCCCTTTAGGTGGTTCCAACTTTGATGATTCAAGGCCGACTGGGAAAGGTCTGCTTGGGGACCAACGCTCGATGGGTCAGGACAGACCAGACAGCTTGTCCATAAGGTAATGTAGCCCTCCCTCCGTGTGTCCTCTTAGGGCGAAGGCTCTCCTCGTTGTAGAGCTGCGGCCATTACTGTGCTTGATGCGCATTGTCCCAGGGTAGCTGGCCCAGGACACTGAGCCATGCTGTGTGTGCTGGGCACCATGCTCATACGTGGGCTGTCGTGTGTGCATTTAAGAGGCAAGTTCTCTTCTCTGTTTTATAGCTAAGGAAACTCCAGTGATAAGCAGCTATAGCTTTAGGGTCATCCCCATAGTCTAGTGGGAACTGGATCCCACATGACTGGTGGTAGTTCAAATCCCAGCCCCAGCAGCTTGAAAACCATGCCAGCTACATGTGTGCGTGCACTCCATATAGAGATACAGAGATGGAGGAGAAGGGATTGTGGTGTGACCACACCCTGCTCAAGTGCTTTCTACCTCTCTGTCTCTCTTTCTCTGGAGAGTGCACATGCCCACTGGCAATTAAACAATGAAAAAAGAATAAAACCAAGGTCCTAAAACTAGCAAGTGGCTGATCCAGGATTTGACACTCATTCTAACCCTCCCTTAGAAATGTAGATTAGGGACCAGCAGAGGGCATAATGGTTATGTCGCTGGATTCCCACATAATCGACCGTGGTTTGAGTCCCAGACCCAGCAGCTTAACATTCACGCCAGGCAAGTGTGCACGCATGCCCAAAATCCCAAGAGGAGAATAGATGAGAAGGGATTCTGGCATGGCCATCCCCTTAGGGGGTGAGTTCTCACTTTCCTTCCTCTGTGTCTCTCTGGTGAGTGTATGCACAGTATAGCAAAAATCTCTCTCAAAAAAAAAAAAAAAGAAAAGAAAAGGAATGTGGGCCAGCAGATGTAAGGCTGTGTCGCTGGACTCCCACGTAGTTGACCTCAGTTTGAGTCCCAGACCCAGCAGCTTAACACTCGTGCCGGACATGTGTACTTGCATACCCAAGAGGAGACCAAAGGAGAAAGCATTGTGGCATGGCTATCGATTTCTCACTTTCTGTCTCTCTCTGGCTAGCACACGCGCGCCCTATATAGCAAAAACAAAAACAAAAGCTCTCTAAGAAAAAAACAAAAAAGAAATGTAGAAGGTTAGTAACTCCCATTCTTTTAGGAGTTTCCTGGCTCCTAACATACCTTCTTTGTTTATTTACTCCTTCCTGTTTTTCCTGCTGTGTTGTTATATTAGTCTGTGCTCCAGCGCCCCCTACTGATCATAGCTAGAATCGTCTAGGCAAGATAAAACTTCATTTTATCTGTGTCAATATTTTAACTATGCACTTAAACAGAATGAACAATCCCTGAACTTTAAGCGTAGCTATTTTAATCATTCTCAGCTCACTGGTGCACCATCTTGATATACACATGTGTATTTTTATAAAGCCTTACTTAGTATGTACATACCGATAGCAATATTGAACACTTATGTAACATTTACTCGGGGCCAGAAACTGTTTTAAATGCTTTACATATCCTAGTTCATTAAGTAACCGTCAACAAAAGTTTCTCGAGCGGTTATATAGAATTCCACTAGGAAAAGTATGTCAAATTTTGCCTAAGTTGGCATTTGAATAATTTTGTGTTGTGACTATAACTGCTAAACAAATGATAGTGAAATAAAATTTGCATCGCCTTTCTTTTTATTGTGGCTTATTCCTGTGAACAGAGATATAGAAGTAGAATGGTGATGCCAAGGATTTGGAGGGTTTTGTGGCCTCATTATATGAGGGACAAGGATCCTGAAAGAGTGCTGTAGGCTCTGAGTTTTTGTCCACACTCTCACTGTCCCACTGGGCAAATCATTGACAATGCTAAGTCTCACCTTTCTCATCTGGAAATGAAGGAATTGGGCCAACCCTGTGGCCTAGCGGTTAAGGGAGATGGATTACATATGGCTGGACCAGGTGGTTCAAATCCTGGACCTGGCAGCTTGAGAAGCATGCCAGGCACGTGTGCATGTGTGTGCCCAAGATCCCCAAAGGACAGAGAAATGGGGAAGGGATTGGATGTGACCATGCTCCATGGGGGATGCCTTTCTCTGGTGAGCACCTGTGCCCTCTGGCAAATTTTAAAAATAGCAATAAATAGGGACCAGCAGATGGTGTAATGGTTATGTTACTGGACTCCCACATAGTCTACTGTCGTTCAACTGCGACCTGGGCCCGGCAACTTAAAACTCACACTCGGCACATGTGTTTACATGCCCAGAATTCCAGGAGGAGGCTGGAGGAGAAAGGACTGCAGTGTGGGGATCCCCTCTGGGGGTAATTTCTCACTTTCTGTTTCAGTCTTTCCAGTGAGTGCACACACCCTATAGCAAAAATCTCTCTAAAAAATAAAAAATAATTCCAGACCCAAGAAATACAAAGCACCCCTAATAGAATCAACCCAAAAAGATCATCTCCAAGGCACATCATCGCCAGACTGATCAAATCTATAGACAAAGACAAGATAGTAAAATTGGCACTAGAGAAACGTCAGGTTACTTATAAAGGTTATCCCATCAGGCTAGCCTCAGACCTCTCATCAGAAACAATGCAAGCAAGGAAAGAATGGGAACAGGATGGGAAAATAAATATATTCAAAGTGTTAAGTAAAAAACAGTTTCAATCAAGAATACTGTACCAGTAAGATTATCTTTCATATGGAAAGAAAGGGTAAAAACATTCTCAGATAAACAACACCTGAAAGAATTTGCCAGTAGCAGACCCACTCTTCAAGAAGTTCTGAAAAGAGTGCTTGACCAGGAAAACTATAGACACATACAGAAATAAGAGAACAAAAGGCAACCAAGAAAATGACCAATTTAATGCGAGGGACAAAAAATATCAATAACAGTGTTGAATGTTAACTTCTAGGATTTGAATGTATAGATTGGTCTACAGTAACTCTGCATATTCTGCTGGAGAGAGTTTGAACACAAGACTGAGCTAGCGAAATAGAATTTTATGACTTCTGAGTAAAACATTACTGATTTCTTTTTTTTTTTTAACTATGCTTTGTTTTCCCAATTTTATTTAACATTTTACTTTCTTTTGAGTTGTTGATAGGTTTAAGCAATTTGTTAAAATATTTTTCTTGTTTATTTATTTAAGTGGAAATATAAACTTTCCTTCCTTCCTGGAAAAAAAAAAACACAAAAAACCCCCAAAAAAACAACTGCCTCCCCGCACTGGTGGGTGTAGCACTTGAAAAGGCTGTGTCCTTGTTCTGAGTCCTGCCTGGTCCATGCATTGCTCCTTGCTCAAATAAACTCTGCTCCATTTCAAAAAGAGAAATGAAATTTTGTTTAAAAAATAATAATAAATAAATTTCCTAGTAGCCATATTTTTAAAAAAGAACTATTTATTTAATTCACTATTACTAGTTTTTTTAAAATTTGACCAGAGAGAGAGAAAGCAAGCCATCAGATCCAAGTCCAGGACTTGAACCATAGTCAGCCACATAGGAGTCCAGCACCTTAACCACCATGCCATATGCCAGCCCCATAGTAGCCACTTTTTTTTTTTTTGGAGAGGTTTTTGCTATAGGGCACACTTGCATGCCAGAAAGACAGAGAAACAGAAAGCGAGAAATCACCCCCCCGGGGGGATGGCCACGCTGCAGTTCCTTCTCCTCCATTCTCCTCTTGGGATCTTGGGCACACACACATGCACCTGGTGTGACTTTAAGCCACTGGGTCTGGGACTCGAACCATGGTCGACTCCATGCGAGTTCAGAGACATAGCCATTACACCAACTGCTGGTCCCCATAGTAGCCACATTTTAAAAGGAAATGAAAATGGAGGAGTTATACTAGATTGTCTTCAAGGCTTCCTTCTTGTGTCAGATTACCAGAAGAACCTCTAGACCAGTATACTCCGCAGTCAGCACCGTAGCTCCACGTAGACGTATTGCTTTAGTGAGCACATTTTACTTCGGTCTTTAGACTTTGTAACTCAGATGTGTGGGGGGGAACTTCTAGCATTAGTTTATTTTGCCATAGAGGATTCATCCACATATGAGACAGGGTCAGCTCCTTGGCTCAGTGGGAATGCTCTGCTCAAGAGAAGCTGGATCCCACGTGGCGACTATGGCTCGAATCTCTGGCCTCGTCAGCCTGAGACAGCCAGGCACGCATGCCAGTATCCGAGGTCTGACAGGTTGGAGGACCGCCAGCTGGGAGGGGGTTATAGTGTGACCAGACCCTGTGGAGGGTGTTCATCTCTCTTTTTCTTTCTCATGTGTATGATCATGTGCTCTATCATGAATAAAGAAAACAAGTTTTTAATATGAAAAATGTTTTTGTTTTTTAGACAGACTAAATCCAAGTCTGAAATCACAGACATGGTTCGTTCTTCTACGATCACAGTGTCAGACAAGGCTCATATTTTGTCAATGCAGAAGTTCGGGCTGCGAGATACGATTGTGAAATCACTCCTGGCGCAGAAGGAAGGGGAGTACACCGACATCCAGAACTTCAGGTAGCTCACGGGTCTTACACTGCTCCAGAACGAAGCGGTTGTTCAGTTCTCTGTAAGTTACGCACTTCCGCATACCCCGTATTTGGAAGCAAATCATTCTGTAGAATCTCTCTACTCATTTTCAAAACGAGTGGTTCCATTCACTCCTTGTTCAAGTGTTTATTCTGGACCCCTTCTACGCAGACACTGTGGTGACTGCGAGGACTGGGAGGGACACACCTTGCAAGCAGTTACAGAAATGTTTGCAGAGAGAAACAGGCACGGAAGCGGGGGTGACTTTTGTCATCCTTCTGAGGGTTTATATTTCTTTGGTCATTCTGGGTCCTTTAGGAAAGTCAAAAAAATGAAATTAGTTGGTACCTGGAATTTTATTTTTTAAGAATTACTTATTCGATTTTATTTATTTATTTATCTTTTTCGGTGTGCTATAAAGCACATGCACTCATCAGAGAGAGACCAGAGAGAAAAAGAAAGGGAAAGTGAAAAAGTAAGTCAGCAGGCCCAGGACTCGAGCCACGGTCAGCCACATGGGAGTCTGGCACCTTAACCACCAGGCCACCTGCTAACCCTGGTGTCTGGACACTATTTATTTATTTAAAGAAAGTTTTTAAAGAGTTATTGTTTATTTAATTTATGTATTTTAATTTGGCAAGAGAGTGACAGAGTGGGCGTGAGAGAAAGTGAGAAAGCAAGCTGCCACATCCGGGACTTGAACTGCCATCGGCCCTGTGGGAGTCCATCACCCTTACTCACCATGCCACTTGCTAGTCATGGTGTCTGGAATCTTTTTAGACAGGATTTCTGGAAGTGAGGTGAATAATCATGGTTACAGTGTTCTGTTAGAGCTTTTGAATCATTGCTCTGAGACTACTAGACAAAGTAACATTGTTTCTTGGGATATAAATGGTGAATTATGATGAGGAGATAGCTTTTTTAAAGAATTGTTCATCTAATTTTATTTAATATTATTATAATTTAAAAAATTTGACCAGAGAGAGATAGAAAGAGGGATAGCGACAGAGAGAGAGGGAAAGTGAGAAAGTAAGCCACCAGGTTTGGAACTCAAACCGCGGTCCACCATGTGGAAGTCCAGCACCTTAACCACCATGCCGCCCGCCAGCCCTGAAGAGGTAGCCTTTTGGGCTGGTGTTGCTTTCCTGCCAAAAATTCTTAGGCAGGCACTTAGTGTTTCAGGAGCATCCGCTGGGGAAAGAATCGTTCCATGGATGACGGCTCTGAGTGCAGCGTAAGGGGAGTAGGAGTGCTCAGAATAGGCTTGTACTGTGACGTTACCGCGAAAGCAGCACCTAGCAGGGTGGGCAGCAAGTCGCCCCTTGGAGCCATCGTCACTAGCCCACGTTAGATAGGACATTCCTCATGTCCTAAAATGCTGCTCCAAGGCCAGGAGGTAGTGCAGAGGTTAAGGTGGCTGGATCCCAATGGCTGACTCAGCAGTTCAAGTCCCAGACCCAGTGGCTTGAAAATCACCCTGGGCTGGGGCCAGCAGGTGGCGTGGTGGTTGAGGGAGCTGAACTCCCACATGGCCAACTGCGGTTCAAGTCCTGGACCTGGTGGCTTACTTTCTCACTTTCTCTCTCTCTCTTACTCTGTCCCTCTCTGGTCAAATTAAAAACAAATTAATTTAGTAAGTAAATAAAATTAAATAAAATAATTCTTAAAATAAAAGAGAAAATCACGCTGGGTACACGTCTGTGGATACCCACCCACAACCCCAGGAGAGGAATAGAGGAGAAAGGATTGTGGCATGACTATCCCCCAGGGAGGTTATTTCTCACTTTCCCTCTCTCTCTCTGTGTCTCTCTGGCGAGCGCACGTGTTCCATAGCAAAACTGAAAAAAAAAAAAAATAAATGGTGTTCCACAGAAGCTGAAACCAGGCAAAGACAGCAAACCGTGCTCCCCCATCATCTCCATCGTGCTTCTGAGTCACTGATTGGTTCTCTTCGGTGACAGGTTTTTCGTGGGAACGTACAACGTGAACGGACAGTCTCCCAAAGAATGCCTCCGACCGTGGCTGAGCCACGGTGCCCAGGCCCCGGACGTGTACTGTGTGGGGTGAGTGCTGCTCTGCGAGTCGCTGTCCATCCTCAGGAACGGAGAACTGGCCGAAGGGGTGGGGCATGCGTGTGTCGCCGAGTCCTGCAGAGGTGCAGGACTGAAGGATGCTGCGTGCCTGACGGCTGCTTCTCCGTGT